ACCCCCAACCGACCACCCCCCAGGCCCCGGCAGCCACCCCAGTCAGCGGGCTAACCACAGCAACCCGGAGCCCGAAAGTATGCTTTCACATCCTTCACTTACAGCTTTATTACAAGAGTGATCATAATCTTATGAGATAGTTATATAGTTTACATTTGCCCATTGCTGTACGTCAGTTGTTGACTTGTAAATTAAACAGCAAAGCTGTCAGTAAAATAGTAATGTATCACCTTCAAGGAAATCTTTAAGCACAATTAAAGATACGAGCTAGAACTTGATGCCAGCGTCACTGATTTCCTTCGTTACGGACGAATGGATAGCATTTCTATGTCCCTCTGCCATGGGGGGACAAAAAGTGTGATTCAGTGAGCAGAAAAGCTGCATTTTGCATTAAAGACAAAGAAAGCTTTCCACCTACAGATTCATTTTAGGAGAGAATAGTGGGACACAAGGAAAGACAGCAAATCTTACTAACCTCATCTGCTGTCACTGCACAACCACATCATTGTTTGTTTTATGGATGAGAAGATAAACTTTCATTCAAGCAGACTTTGCCGTACGTGTCAAGCAAAAATGCCTTGTAAAGATCAGCAAAAATGAAATGCAGAAAAATATAAAACACTTATTATTTCACGTTATTCTCAACAATTCAGAAATTGCCTGTGGTAGCTAGAGGCACAAACGAAAGAGGGGGGAAAATATGGATTATGTCATTGTCAACTAGCTCACCACCAAGTGTCCACATCTGAGGTCAAACGCTTCCTTGTTAAAAAATAACATGCACCAAGCAAAAGATTAATTGCTTGACTGCACAAAATGCATAGAAATGAAGCAGGTAGTGGTGAAAGTGGCAGGCAGGAATGAACAGAAAAGCGGTTCAGGAATCAAGGTATTAAAAGGGAACCAAACTATAAGAAATAGGGGTGGTGGTAATAAGAAAGAAAAGACTCAGACTAACAAGAAGAGGAGCAGTGAGTAAATCATTCCCTAAAAAAACTGTAAAGAATTGTTTCAGTGTTATGTTCAGCCCATGGCTCAAATAGTATGTGCATGTATATATGAGTGTATGAAACAAAGAAAGATAGGTTACAATAAGAAAGAGAAAAAAAAAACATTTGTATGAGTTTGCTTGTTGAGTGCGTTATCAAGTTTGGCAGCACAAATGTATAAATGGATGGATCACTACCCCAGGCAACTCCATGAAGTTCCATTCAGACCTTTTGCTCTTCAAACTTTTAAAACTTCGTATTACTGGAAAGCATATTGACTTGAATTCATTTCACTGAAAACGATAAAAAAAACCCTCTCTGTTTAGAGGAAGGGTGTCCAATTCTAGTCCTCGAGGGCTGCTTTCTTGCATGTGTTACCTTGCAAACACCACTGAATTACCTCTTCAAGTTCTGCAGAAGCCATTTAATCATCCATTCATTCAAATTGTTTGCGTTAGAGCAGAGAAACTTCTAAGAAATGCAGGATGGTGGCCCTCTAGGACAGTTTGGACACTCCTGGATTAGAGCAATTGTTTATGGATGTTTTTAGTGACCTGTCCAGAGTGCACCCTTCCTCCTGCCTAATGGCAGCTGGGATGTGCTCCAGCTTCCCCAAACCCAAAGCCATCCATCCATCCATCCATTCATCCATCCATCCACCATTTGCCACGTGATCCCTAATCGGAACCGATTAGGGATCCCTAATCGGATGCCACAAGGTGTCATCTTTTATATTCCCTCGGTTACAAAAAAAATCTGTTGAATAATTCGGTGGTCGCTCACTGACATCTGCCTCGTATCAAACACACATACAAAAGACTGAATTACCTAATTTTAGCAATCCTGCCATTACAAAATCGCTGTTTCACGTCATCTTCATCCATCCATCCATCCATCCATCCATTTTCTGTACMCRYTTCTTCCTTTTCAGGGTTGCGTGGGTCACTGGTGCCCATATCCAGCAGTCACAGTGCGAGGGGCGGGGTACACCCTGGACAGGTAGCAAGTCCATCACAGGCGTCATCTTTAATAGGTGATAAATTTGTTTGTTGATTAATCCTGCGGTCCGCCTTCCCGGCTCTGCTCTAACACTACCTCCCTTGGCAGCTCAGAGGGGCATCAGAGTAGGGTTGGGCAATATTGGTTGGGGTATTTAGCCGATAATGATTAATTTGATGATTAATCCGCTGGAGTCCCTGGACACCCTTATGTCCTAGTCACATGACCAAACTGTGTCAAAATTACAGACTTCAGGCTATACACCAAATTTTACATCGTGTTGCTAAATAAATAACAGGACTTTTTTTTCTAATGTTTGTCACATTTGAAGCAGAAAGGAGCACCAGACGGACTGACTGGAGATCTCTCCAGTCAGTCTGCCTGGTGGCATTAATCGTATTGTTAAATGCCAAAAAAATAATAATTTATTAATGTTTTTCTGATGATTAATTGCACACTATACGATTATGCCCAACCCTACGTCAGAGGGCTCACATCTGCCCTCCTCGCTGCTTTGGTGCTTTTTCTAAATGATCCAAGAAGGATAGGACTGGCGTCCGTCCCGGACAGAGTGGTGGAGAAAGTACTCAAACACTGTACTTAAGTAAAAGTACAAGATAAACAGACAAGAATGTACTCTAGTAAAAGTAAAAGTACCACACTAACATTTTACTTGAGTAAAAGTAAGTAAGTACTTGCTTTTAAAAAATACTTAAAGTATTAAAAGTAAAAGTACTTGCTTAATGTATTCCCTAATGGTCTACAATAAGTGTGCCTACTGTATGTATATTTTAATACATCAATGGTGCAATTTTAGTGAACAATGCTGCAGATAATGCATAGTTTTATGTTGTGACACTGTTCACACTTTGTGATTCAGTGCATCATCACATATTGTGACAACAGCTGCAGAAATTGTAAATTCACCAACAACCTCCTCTATCAAATCTCAACAAGTCATTTTTTTGAACCAGTAAAATAAGGCCATGAATGGCACATTTCCTTCATGGTGGAAACCATTGTGGGCATGCTGCTGCTCTGCGTTTTTATGAAGGAGGGTGTAATGGTACTTTCCTGCTTTGTTCAATGGACCAATTACAGCAATTCCCCCTCTCGCCACTGATTATTTTCTAACAAAAAAAATCAAATAAATCACAAATAAAATAAAATAAAATAAAATAAAAAATAAATTGACATGACATGAATGTACTTAGAAAGTACAGATACTTAATGTAAAATGTAGTGGAATAAAAGTCAAAAGTACCCATGATGAAATCTATTTAAGTAAAGTACAATACATGAAAAATGTATTTAAGCACAGCAAGAAAGTACTTGTACTTAGTTACAACCCACCACTGTGTGAATGAGGCTACAGGTAGGGGCTGCTGGATGATGAACCATAGGCTAACGCTCTGCTTGCTTTACTCCTTTTTTATTTTTTGAGTAGAGGTCGTTCCACTTCATCTGTAAACCTTTTTTCTTGTTTTCTTCTTTTGCACAGGTATTCCTGGTCCTCCTGTGCTTTTATATTTCCGTGTTTCTGTCCTCTCAACATTCAACCACTCAAAAACAGAAGGATGCTCTAAATTAGACTGATTCTGCTGTTCTGCTGTCCTTCCTTGCCATCAAATGCATGTTCAAAACAAAGGAAGGAATCGAAGTACTTTTTCTATGATATAGACTGCATTTAATACAAAATAGTATTTATTATATTTGTGTGAGAAGATAAGAGCTGGGGTTTTCAGGAAGAACCAAAGAGCCCGGCACCACCAGAGTTGTGGTGCACCCACGCTGGCAGTAACAGGACAACAAAATGATGAGCAGAAAATTTGAGAAGGTGCAGTAATCGTCCACTGGGGTGTAACTAAGTGTGTGGAGTCTACAACCTGGCAGCCCGACCAGGCTTATTACAAGTTCAGCATAAGTCAGTGTTGGATTTCAGAAACAATAAAGTTGGGAAAGGCCAACATAAGATTCTGCTTTCGTTTTTGCATAATAAACACACTGTCTTACATGAAAATATACTGTACATAACCGTTCTCTCCTCTCTGTTTTCCCTTCCTCATTGCTCATTTTTTTTGCTTCCTTCCACCCCATTGCTTGTTTTTCATCTGCAGCTTTCTTCCTCTGGTAACCTCTCATCCCCTTTTCACCACTCTTTCCAATCTGTTGTTTCTCATCTTCTCTACCTTATGTGTCTCACCCCCTTCTGTTTTCCTCACTTTTTATCCCGGGCACCTTTTTCACGCGCACATTTTTCAAATGTCGTGTTAAAGCTAATGAAAAAATAAAAAAAGGCCTGATGGTCGGCAGGCGGCGACACTTTATTCTGCAGCAGAATGAGAAGGACGGTTTGCAGCAGGAATAAAAAAGAAAGTTTGGCTGTTCGATCAAATCTGCTCCATCTTCTTCTGTTTCTAAATATTAGAGCTTGATCACGGTTCAGGAGGCACCCTGCGCAACTTTGTTGCCTCTGTAAAATATTTCTAAAAAAACAAAAAAACAAAAGTTGCCTATGTCGCTCGTGCGCGCGCTTGCATGCGCACGCGGGCAGCATAGACTTTCTGCAACAGCCCCCTCTCCTCTCCTACAGTCCCTGCATTTAAATCTCCCTCTTGACATCAGTGGCAAAGCAGCAGTGTCGATTCATCTACTTGATTAGAGCGCGCACCCCCCCCCCCTCCCAGCCTCTCACACACGTACGCGCGCGCACTTACACACACACGGGGATGTCAGTCATTGAAAATAATATACAGCAACCTTCCTTTCCTCACTTCTCAGGCAGCTCTCCTCTCTTCAGCATTTCTCCCAGCCCACCCCCCCCCATCTCTCTCTCGCTCTCTCCCTTCTTCCTTCTCCCACCTCCACCCGCCTCATCCCTCTCTTCCCCATCTCTTTCTGGCGGGGCGGGAGCTGATATCTCTGGCGGTTTGCCGCATGGAAGTCGCCCAGGCTATAGGCTGACGATCACCTTTCTCATCCGGACGTTTTCTCTCCGTTTTCACCCCCCCCACCCCACCCCCCTGTAAGAGCAAGACACGCAGCATCTCTGTTTCCTTTCTCCTTGGATATATAACAGCACCTATCCGTTGTTGGACCGAAAGGGAGAGCCTGAATCTCGGCTTCATTCCAGCAGAGAGAGAGTGAGTGTGTGCGAGAGAGAGAGAGAGAGAGAGAGAGAGAGAGAGAGAGAGAGAGAGAGNGAGAGAGAGAGAGAGAGAGAGAGAGAGAGAGAGAGAGAGAGAGAGAGAGAGATGTTTCTCACTCAGATATAACAATCTGATGATCGTCAAGTGCGCAAAAGCCGCTGCGTGAAGCATTACGCACGGCGAGTTGGCTTTACTTTGTATTTATTATTTTCTTTCTTTTCTTTTTTTTTTCTTCCTAAACCCATCTCCTCCTGAACGGACAGACCTGGGGGTCGGATGTGTGGAGGGACTTCCATGGTGTGGAGTCTTGATTTTACCCAGCGACCCACCGGGAGGCTCGGAACCGAGCAAATCCGTCGCCCTGCTGGAATATTAACAACCCTAATCCTGACAGCAACCCAGGGGGTGGGTGGTGGTGGAGGGGGAGATGCTGCTGCAGCAGAGTTTGGGACTCTAGAGAGCTCTCCAACTTTTCTAAAAGGAGGCTTTTCGCTTCTAATCCATTTCCCCCTTACCGCCTGTGGGACTCCTGTTTGATTTGCAGGCTCCTCGACGTCAGTCATGGACCGGTCCACGTCTCTGGACATCGAAGCGCTCAAGGTAAGACGCTCACAGGCTGGAGGCGCCAAACTGCTCCTGCAGAGTGAGTGTCAGAGCCCCCTGAGGATGGGTGGCATGTTAGCTGACCTGATGGGGTGACGGATAGGTTATCTCTGGTGACTGGTTGGATTCATCCGCAGCTGAGTGAGTGATGGTGAAGCTGGTGAAGCTGGCTGGGTCTGGATGGATGACTATTTATTTGGCTTTTTGAACAGCTGGGAGGGAAATTTGACTCCGAACGCCACCAGGCAACCTTTGCTGCTCTGGTTCTTTGCCAAGCACATGTCTTGTAATGTTGGTTAAAGAAAGACTGGCAGGGTCTGCGCTTTTCTTTCATTGGTGACTTGTAGGCATTAGTGGGATCCTCTGTAAGCTGAGCGATTTGCTCGGCTGGGCTCTACTCTGCTGCAAAACATCTCGTAGAGCGATTGTCAGGAGACAAATACAAATTCTGCCTGTGTGTTGGTCTGCTCTTGAGAGTGAGTGTACAGTGGAAGAACTGGGTCGCTACTATAGCTCCTCTCTTCCGGCTGTTTGGATCCTTATCCGTCAACCATGTCCTGTCGACATACTGAATTCAATCCCCCCAGCAACAACAACAACAACAACAACAATAATAAATAAAATAAGACAGGTCTAACATCTTATAAGTCAAGATTATCTTTGAAGTGAGCCACGTGTTTTGGAAGCCTTCAGAATCTAGGATGCAAACTAAGGGGAAAATACCTATTTTCTGCATAATACTGTATTAGTTTAAACCGCATTTTAAAGAAATGAGCAAATCCTTGAAAATCCCCAGAGGTTCAACATGTCAAGCTGCATTTTATGTGACCACGTTTTTTCTGAAAGAGGGGACATTGACGTTGCGCTGACGCAGAGCTTAAAATTGACTTTGACTTCGGTGGCTGGTCAGAGGTGTCAAAAGATGGAAATTGGCATTCTGATTTAAAAGAATGACCTTAACTCTTGGCCGATGAACTTGACCCGCATGGTGCAAATGCTGAGGTCTGTTTTGTGAATTCTGCTGCGGAAAGTTTGATTATCGTAAAAGGAAATCGAAAGCTCGTAGTCAAATAGCTTATATAAGCAATAAATGTCAGAATCACTGAAATTAGCTTCAGCCAAAACATTCGTATGGCTTTCTGGTGTGTTTTGAGCAAATGTTATGTTTCAAATGTAGTTAGGATAGGAGTGACCCAAAGAAATACAACTGAAAAATTCTCCTGTAGTACAAGAAAAGCTCCATTGAGATTATAAAAATATGCTGGTGGTCTCAGTGTTATACCTATAAATTATAGTAATAAAACTGCCCCTTTTCATTATTATGCTTTGTTGTTGTTGTTGTTGTTGTTGTTGTTTTTGCAACACAAAGAAAGTTGTGTTTTCTACAACATATTGTTCAATAAAAAAACTAAAGTATGTTTAGTTTTTATTATTTTCTTTCTGCCGTCCATACGGCATTTTATTAATTGCAGAAAACAGAGTTTTAAAAAGTCAAGTGTGACAGGCAATCATGTATTGCTCAGACAATAAATCAATGGCTCATTTGAATTCCAGGTGCCAGGCATCATAATGAAAACTGGGCCCTGAGTAAATCCCCAGATGCAGTTGAATCTTCTAAATCACAGCTCAGTTCAGCCCAGTTTCAATATAAATAAATGGAAAATCCATTTGTCACTGGTACAGGAAAAAATAAATCCCAGATAAAAGAAAAGCAAACAAACTTGCAAAGATATCCAAATTAGAAAAAAAAGTGTGTTCTGGTAAAGTAAAGCATATTTAAATCTGCCATGTCTTTCACAAAGCATCATTGAGTTGAAAAAAAATACTGACATTTTTGGCTGTGAGATCTTAAAAAGACACCACTTCCCAATGTCTCCAAAAGTAAAAGAGCAACACTTTTGTTGGCTGGCTTGCTTCCCATTACTTGACCCCCCCAAGTGAGAGCACTTGATAGTCTGTAATCAAATTCCAATCTTGGCAATATTTGTGCATCACCCAGCCCATTAGAACTAAAAGATTTCCAGTCTCTACTGGTAGTCCATCTCTCCATCCATCTGCCGGTTGTTTTCTGAGGACCTGGTGTCATATCCTTGGCTGAAGTGATAATCCCTTAAGGTTCGAGTGCATCGGTAGCTGGCACTCTAAAGCAAACACACAGTGTCGTCCAGTGTTCTCTGTTTGTAGTGAGGGTCAGGGGTGTGTGTGTGGGGGCTTGTTTGGGTGGGTGTGGACATGTTTATCTGTAATGGTTTTGAACCAATAATTTACAACCCACTACTTTAAAAAGTCTTCCCGATATAGCCAACTGTGTGTGTGAGAGAGAGAGAGAGAGCAAGCGGGAGTGTGAGTGAGTGTGTACGCATATTTGCAAGCCAGCTAGACTTTAAGGCTTTTAAAAAAATGAAGTCCCTTCCTTTCTCTTATTTATATATCTGTCAGGCGTTTGAGTGTCTCAAGTGTGGGTCTCAAAGGACATGCCTAAAAATGAAAAGCACTTGGACGTCATTTAGACTTTTGGAAGGCACTGGCCAAATATCATTTGTTAATTCATGTCTGTTTGCCTGGATTTGATGAAAGACCTCAGTGCTTGTAAATCAGGGCAGGTTTCAATATCAACAGAGCAGTTTTAAGTGCTATTGATTTTTAGTAATAGCTGCACTATAAATTATATGCAGTATAATACAGGCGGTCGGATGAATTTGATCCTCCAGATCAAAGGCTTGTAACAGTGCATTTGTTGAGAGAGAGAGAGTAAAAAAAACTAGTTTAACTTTTGTTGTGTTGTAGAATAAATTTCAACATGCAGCATAATGACTCGGTTATACCACACAGCAAGAAGGTCCTGGGTTCGACCCCCAGTTCGGACCTGGGGTCTTTCTGTGCAAAGTTTGGATTCTCACCTCATGATTGCATAGGTTTATGACTTCTGTTTCCTCCTGCAAACCAAAAATGTGTATAATAGTTTGCCTTAAAATCCAGGCCTCGCTTGAAAAAGAGATCTGGGATCTCAATGGGATTTGCCTGGTTAAACAACAGTAAAATAAAAATAAACATTAAAAAGAGAGGAACAAATGAAGAAAATCATGTGACTTAACCAAAAAAAAAGGGCATGCAAATACAGGATGTGTTCAAACTTCATTGTGGCTGTTAAACTTATTGCAGAAAAAAAGCTTCAATTATAATTTTAGACAACAAAAGTACAAATAAATAAATAAATAAATCCAACAGCAGAAGTCTTACATAATGTACAGCAATGAGAGCATTGCTTCAGTCAGTCATGGTGAAGAAACGATGAATTGAAAGGCAAAGCTCTCAACCGTCTGTCTACATTCCAACCTTGGATATGAATTGTGGATCATGACCGAAAGAATGAGACCCCAGATACAAGCAGCAGAAGTGGGCTTCCTTTAGAGTGTGGTTGGGATCAGCTCAAATAGGGTAAGGAGCTCCATCATCTGTGGAGAGCTCAGAGTAAAGCCGCTGCTCCTCCACATCGAAAGGAGTTAGTTGAGGTGTTTCAGGCATGTCTCACTGGTAGGAGGACTCATTGGAGGGATTATGGATCCTCTCTTGCCTGGCCTGGGAATACCTTGGGGTCACCCAGGACAAGCATGAAAGTACTGCTGGGCAGTGGGATGTCTGGGTTTCTCTCCTGGACCTGTTGCCTCCGCGACCCGACCACAAATAAGCAGAAAAAGATGGCGATGGCAAAGTCCTACATAATCATTGGCTAGCTCATTGTGTTTTGAGTTTAGAAGCAGTAAATAGGTTCCTTTAACACTGTGCAGTGCTATAAGCAATGTGATGTAGTGATGACTTGTGGTCTACGTGACCCCCGCCTCAGAATTTAAAAGCCGAAACAACAAAACGTTGTTATTACAATTTGGACCAGGTTTTTATTAGTCAGTGTCGGCCACGTTTAAAATAAAATCTGTCAGTTGTTGTTTAATGAAAAATAACAACATATTGAATGATATGACTGTGATGGACTTGCGACCTGTCCATGGTGTACCCAAGGTGTACCCCGCCCCTCGCATTGTGATTGCTGGATATGGGCACCAGTGACCCCCGCGACCCTGAAAGGAAGAAGTGGGTATAGATATTAGATGGATGGATGAACATGATAAAAAATGGGGTTATGATTTGGCCATCGACTGCCCTGATTTCTAAAGACTGGCATCGGCCAAAGAAAAAATTCAAACCGATCAACCTCCAACAACAACTTTGCATTTAGCTGAAAAATAGGATTGCTGAAATGAGGTAACTTGTCATGTTTTCAAAGTAGTAGCGCTCCATGTCAATGCAGCTGATTTCTGCTCCTTGCCTCCTTTGGTTCTGCGATGCTTGCTGTATTTCTGAGCTCACATGTATGCAGACATGGTTGGCTTAGTTAGGACTTTATATATCATCAGAGGCAGCTGAAGACACAGATTACTCTTTCAGCCATTTTGTGGAACTGTTTCGTGAAAGTGCCCAGATTTAGTGAGAACGAACAAGCATTTTTAGAGAGGGATGTTTTCCCACCATGGTGGCGTTCTTTCATTCGACTCCATTTGGTAACCACCCAGCGAAGTCACAGTTTTGCATTTCTGGCCACTGAGCAGCTCAGTCTGAGCAATTGGGGGTTCAGTGCCTTATCCAAGGGCACTTCAAAAGTAGCTGCTGAGGGAAGAGAGAACATTATTCATTCATTTAAGCAAGCCAGCCCCCAAGCATGCTTCTCTAACCTTCAGGCAAGTGCAATTTGTCATCTATGTATCATCAGGTCTGCTAAACTATGGTACAAGCTTAAAAAAACACACACACACACACATAAAGTGATGACTTCATTTATTCCAATGAGAAATACACTGTAATGTGCTGACAGCCATGTTTGTTAAGGCTGTCATTGTGTCATCGGCACAATTTGAAAAGTAGCTGACTTGTTTGGGCCAAATAAACGTTATTCTTAATAAACTGGAAAACTCCCAAACATTATCATGCATGCACATTTCATT